TTGTTTGTGTCAATGCAAATCGGAGCTCTCTCTCCACATCTACGAGATGTGGCACACGCACACGCGAGCGGGCACCCACACGGGTCGCACTGAGCAATCGTCTGGCGCGTGCGGTCCGTAACCAACGACCCAAACAAATAAAAACAAACAAAAAATAAACCGTCATCAGACCTCCTTTGCCAGTACCAAAATATAATAATAGGGGTTTTCCCCCTTTTTTTCTGGCAACAAAACTGAAACCTTTTTTTACTAGGAATCATGTGTGAATTAACCACAATACTTGTGGTCCAAATGCAAACAAAAAACACACTCTGATAATATATGCATTGTCCTTGAATCTGATTGGTCCACACCAGAGACGGCTTTCTTTTGAGCCTCGTCTCAATTGGTGCTCGACCAGAGGACGCCAAAAGGTGTACAGCTCAAAGACAATGCTGCACTATCAAAGTAATGAGGGCTCGGGGTAAGCGTCTACATCATTAGACCTCCTTTGCCAGTACCAAAATATAACAATAGGGTTGTCTTTGAGCTGCACGCCTTTTGGCGTCCTCTGGTCTAGCACCAATTGAGACGATACTCAAAAGAAAGCGGTCTCTGCTGTGGACCAATCAGTTTCACGGACAATGTCATATATTATCAGTGTGTTTTTGGTTTGCATTTTGACCACAAGTATTGTGGTTAATGGACACATGATTCCTTGTAAAAAGGTTTTACTTTTGTTCATTCTAGATTTATTTTGTTGCCAGAAAAAAAGAGGAAAACCCTCTTAATAAAATAACTCGTGCCAAACAAAAGAAAACCACACGGAACAAGGTGCCACGCGGTCGAGGGTTTGCAGGGTCGAAGGTAAAACCCGGAGTGTGGATCATATCTCGCTCTCTCGCTCTCTCTGCGCGTGTGCTGACGACGGCCATGCGAACGGCTGTAGCAAAAGAAAAAAAACACGGCCGTTGTATAAACACCGAAACTGGATCGATAATAAATAACCGTACCTTATAGCAAACATCACGATCAGACGATATATTTATATAGGAACATACGTTTTCATGGTTGTTTTTTTTTTGTTCTTTGTCGCCGTTTAGTTTAAATATAGAGATGTATAACAAGACGCGTTCTCAAAACGACGGTCCCGTACAAATGAGAGAGTAATTCCTTGCAAAAATGTTAAAACAGTTGTCATGCCAACATTACAAAAAGACACGGCGATTATCGTTCACACTGCCCTTCCCCACCGCCACCCATTTCCTCCCCGTCGAATGGAAGTATTTACGAGCTTCGGGGAGTCGGGTGGTGTATATATAGATATATATATAGATATAGTTTGATTTTCTCATTCGCAAGCAAAATCGCCGATCAAGCCCAAAAGAGTCCACGCGCGATCAGTTTTACACGAACCATCGAGTCAAGCAGAAGACAGAGATCACATTGAGGCGTCCGAGCCAAACCCCGCCGCTGGAGTTGAACCGAGACGCGCGCGGCTCGCGGGCAGCAGTGTGGCTGGTGGCGGTGGTGATGGGAGGCGCTGATTTTCATGTCCATAATTATCAGATGCCCCCCCCCCCCCATGTTCCACTCCACCTGCCACGTGCAACGTGCTGCCACGGTCAATTATTGCGAGTGCCTTGTGCAAGCACCTGGCCGGTAATTAAGGGCCACTCACAACTGTCGCCATGCAGAGATTCATAATTAGTAAACACACCACAAGCGTGCACACACACACACAACACGCACGCGCGTGTCTGTGTGTGTGTGGATCTGAGCCCCAGCTCACTCAGCCTCACTTGTTCCATCCCTCCCCCACCCAGCCGTCACCTCAGCTCCCCCCTCCACCCTTTCCTCCCTCCCTCCATCTCATCCCCGTCTCGCTCCATCTCCCATCACAACCACCTTCCATCACCTCCAACTCTTCGCCTCCCCGCTCAATCACTCCCCGTCTCCCCTCATCTCCCACCATCTCTCTCCCCGTATCCCTTCCAGTTTACATCTCTCCCCCCCCCCGCCCCCCCCCCCGCCCCCCGCATCTCGTATCTCGTCTCCATCAATCTCGCTCCCATTCTCCCTGCATCTCCCTCCGCAGTCTCCCATCTCCCACCCTCCCCATCTCACTCCATCTCCTCTTCTCCCACCCCTCTTCCCCAAATCTTCCACCACGTCTCCCTAAATCTCCCCCCCCCCAATCTCCCTTCCCAGTGTCCCTCCCATCTCCCACCTTGGCCGTCTGCCTCCATCTCCTCTCTCGTGCTCTCTTTGCCTTCATCTCACACCTTGCCCGTCTCGCTCCCACCGCCATCAAACGAACGCACGCACGCGCGCGCGCATTAGGAGGTTAACGCCATTAACGCCGGGCCCGCTAATTAGGACCCAACACCGCGTGACCTCATCCCTTTTAAGTATCGGAGGAACTCACGCCTCATCTAATCGACTTAAACAAAACCATTACCAGCCTCTTTTCACCTTTCCAAGCCACCCCCCTCCCACCAGCCCCCCACCCGAAGACCATCCCCCCCCCCACCTCCCAGACCCCACTCCTCCCCTCCTCCTCCAACCCGAACCGGTTTCCGCCTCGTGTACTCACGGACACGTTCTCGCCGACAGCGCCTCCAACTCACGTGCCTCCCCACGCCACACTCCTGGACACGCACGGCGTGTCTGACCACCACGAGCCAATCGGCGTCCGCCCTCGTTCCGGCCACGTGGTGTTGCCTTCCGTTCCAGAAACAAGCTCGTCCCTCCTTGCTCCCGTGTGTAACCGTTCCATTCCGTTCCAAAACGTGTTTTACCAGCAGCCAATCGGTGCCCACAAGTCTGACATTACGTTCCGCTCTGTTCCAATATTTGGTCCTCTTCCAATGTAACGTCCTGCTGCGCTCCAATGTGTTCGGTTCCGAACGACTCATATTCGTACTCTCCCTCTTTATCCAACACGCGTCCTTTTCCAGTCCGTAATGCTTTCTCCAGCGCGTGTTCCATTCTGTTCCAACATGTGTTCAGTTCCACCAACCCACAGTTCTCTCCCTCCAACTCGTGTGCTCTGTTCCAACAAGTGATCATGATTTCCGACGTGTGCGTTGTTCCATTACGGTCCGTGTGTTCTGTTCAGTGACACCTGGTCCCCTCTCTATGCCCGAGGTATGTTCTGTTCCAAGACGTAATCATTTCTCCATGTATTGAACTCCGTTCCAACAACACACACTCCTCTCTGTCCAATCCATGTGCTTTGTTCCATCACCGAACACTTTCAATTCCGCGTCCAGTTCCGTTCCAACAAGTTGATCCTCTTTCAAACGCGCGTGCTCCCTTCTGTCGCATCGCCATACGATCCGTTCTCCTCCATTCTGTGCTTTACTCTGTGCCGGCCCAACGTGGTCACCTCCTGAGCCATCACGTTCTCGATACGGAACCTGGAATCGACCTCCAACCACCCCCCCCCCCCCCAATATGGAATGTGGAAGATCTCTGTTCTGTTCTGTTCCGCCCCCCCCCCCTACCCACACGCAGTGTTTCTCAGAAGCGAAGTCCTCGCGACCGCCAGCACGGCCACCAATTCACCTCCGGCGGGATGCAAATTAAACCATTCGCGCGTCGGGTGCCACGGACACACAAAGACAAAGATCCCCCGGATAGCCTCAACACACTGTTGGGGGCAAGTGCTTTTAGCGAGCACCTATGGAGGCTGACACGGCACACGAGGGGGTAGGTGGCCAGCACCACACCCGACCGCCTTTGTCTCCCCGGTGCCAATGTTTACACACCGCACCAGGTACTCATTCGAGGCTGAGTCGACCTAGAGGAGGCCCAGGACCGGTTCAGATAATCGTCACAGGCCTTGAGCGCGAACCGAACCCGGGTCGCCGGGTTCGTAGCGCAGCATAGCGCTCAGCGCTACACGACAGCTCCCCGCACATACACACGATACACACACGATACACGCGCGCGCGTGTGTGTGTGTGTATCGTGTGGCAACTCAAAGCGTGTAACTTAAAGCGGAGGTAAATCGGGCGACTCCTGGAAAGGAACTGCTTGGTTTCGTCACAAGGACGGGAGTTGAGTTCCGTGAACCCTGCCTGGATGTGGTTTGATGCAACCGGACATCCGTTGCAAAATAAACGAGCTTGATAGCCCATCTGATTTCGTCCACTCTGAGTGGAAGATTCTGATAAAAGCTCGAATCTCGGAGGAACTTGAGAAAGCGGAGACGCTACCGGCCCGATGGACTGGCGGTGAGCAGGGAGACCTGGAGATGCAGTCGTGGCTGGCTGACTGTGGGAAGACGTGAGACTGAGACGAAGAGAAACTAAACTAAAGCTAAACTATGTTTTCTTTTACCAGGTAAGGCCCACTGGGCTATGTAGCTTTTTTCAGACGTGACCTGGCCACAAATGACAGCTCAACAAAGCGACTTTTCACGTGGAAATGTACAGCAGCCAAATACTCTAAACGCACGTTTATAAACGTGGAGGGGGAAAAACCGGAGGACTCGGGAGAAAATCCACGCGACCACGGGGAGAGAAGCATGCAAACTCCAAATATACAGCAGGCGTCGTCAGGGTTGGGATCGATCCCACGACCTCCTGTATACCAGGCGAGGTAGTTAACATCTCGCCACCGTGTCGCCCAGGGGTGCCTTCGAAGCAAGGAACGTGGAGGTCAGGGAAGGCCAATGAGTTCCTGCGAACCTGCAGATCCAACGGGACGAAGGCTCTAGAAGCGAGGACTTGGAGGGGGACAACACTGGAGACAAATCATTGGTGACCTGTGAGACCGGATAACCATAAGACCTCGGATATGAGCGACCTCAAACCAGGAAGACCAGGAGGATGAAGCAGAGGACTCGGTTGACCTCGTGACCTTTGAGACAAACCAAAGGGTCATGATTGGCGTAACCATGGAACCAAGAGGGCTGCTATAAAGAAGCAGTGGGGGGGGGGGGGGGGGGGGGGGAGTTGGTACACCAGAAGATACTAGAAGCTGGGAGGAGGATTTGAGGGCTGTCGCGTGGATGATCATGCATGGGGGGGGGGGGAGGGGGGCCGGGTGTGAGGGTGGTGAGGCTATAGTTTGAGAGGCGAGGAACCGGTGAGCTGCATCTCGTTGGCCAGTGCGCGTGGCACGAGGCTCTTGGTGCTGTAGTACTCCACCACCTGCTTGGGCACCTCGGCCAGCACGCACTTGGCCAGCGCCTCCGGGGACGCCTGCCGGGGTCACGGGGGTGGGGTCAGGGTCAGGGGAAGAGCGAGACGGGGTCAGAGAGGGGTTTAGCGGTGGTCGTTGGTGATAGGGGTCAGAGTAATGATGATGATGATGATGGGGGCGGAGGGGAGGCCGGAAGGTTGTGGATGTGGGGGGCAGTTATAGGGAACGGGAGTGGGGGGGGGGGTTAGGGAGTGGCAGCATCGGGGGTCAAGGGTTGAGGGGTTCAGAGCGATCGTGGGATTTGTTTCTCGAGCTCAAAGCGGGTTGACGGGCACGAGTTCGGGTCAATGCTTAGCAGCAGCAGCGTGGTGGTGGTGGTGCTGGTGGTGATGATGTTAATGATGAACGCACGCGTGATATACGCGTGTGTGTATTTCAGTGGCGTTACGCAATGCATCTCGGATGACTGAAATGTGGCCAAGGTCCCACCTCGCACCGGGGGTTGGGGCAATGTCGCCGATGTAAGGAGCATTGCTCATCCCGGTTCTGCTCCTGATTTCCGATTTATGAAGACAAACATCTCTCTCGATAAATCAATAGCAGAGCGATTGCGAGGGGTGTAACCACGCACGGCCGCTACTGCCCCCCCCCCCTTGTACCCTGCCCCCTCCCCCCTCCCTCTCTCCCCACAAAACTCTTCCACTCCACTCCCCACGCTGCCGCACGGAGCGCACACGTCGAGTGAACGTCTCTGATGGCTTCCCCCCCACCCCCTCTCGCCCCACCACCACCACCACCCCCCTCTCCCCCCACACCTCTCCCCCACCTCCACCCGCCACACCCTTCTCGCCCATCTCCACATCCCTCCCCCGTGCTCCCCCCCACACCAACCCCGTGCCCCCCTCCCCCGTGACCCCTCCCCCCGTGACCCCCCCCCCCGTGCCCCCCTCCCCCCGTGCCCCCCTCCGTGCCCCCTCCCCGCAGCCAGCCACCGTACCCCCCACCCCGGAAGCCCCCCCCCCCCCCAACAGACTCACGCTCTTGAAGTCACGGAAGGGCACGAACTGCACGATGTCCCTGGCCGTGGGCTCCCCGCGGGGCGAGCGCAGCACGCCGTCGTCGCCGTCGAGCATGTGCATGTCGGTGAAGTCGGCGTTGCCCACGCCCACGATGATGATGGACATGGGCAGCCGCGAGGCGCGCACGATGGCCTCGCGCGTGTCGCCCATGTCCGTCACCACGCCGTCCGTCAGGATGAGCAGGATGAAGAATTGCTGCGCCGCAGCCGGGGGGAGGGGGGACGAGAGGGGGGGCAGGGGGGGAGGGGGGGAGGGGGCAGGGGGGGTGGGGGGCAGGGGAGCGGAGGAGGGGGGTACACCCAGAAAGAGTTGGTGGTGATGGTGGTGATGGTGGTGATCATGGTGATCATGGTGATGATGATGATGGTGGTGATCATGGTGATCATGGTGATGATGGTGGTGATGGTGGTGATCATGGTGATGATGATGATGGTGGTGATCATGGTGATGATCATGGTGATGATGATGATGGTGGTGATCATGATGATCATGGTGATGATGATGGTGGTGATGGTGGTGATCATGGTGATGATCATGGTGATGATGATGATGATGGTGGTGATCATGGTGATGATGATGGTGGTGATGGTGGTGATCATGGTGATGATGGTGGTGATGGCGGTGATCATGGTGATGATGGTGGTGATGGTGGTGATGGTGGTCATCATGGTGATGATGATGATGATGGTGGTGATCATGTTAATAATCATGGTGATGATGATGATGGTGGTGATAAAGGTGTTTATAATGGTGATGATAATGATGGTGGTGAGCATGGTGATCATGGTGATGATGATGATGGTGGTGATCATGGTGATCATGGTGATGATGATGATGGTGGTGATCATGGTGATGATCATGGTGATGATGATGATGATGATTGGTGATCATGGTGATGATGATTGGTGGTGATGGTGGTGATCATGGTGATGATGGTGGTGATGGTGGTGATGGTGGTGATCATGGTGATGATGATGATGATGGTGGTGATGGTGGTGATCATGGTGATGATGATGATGGTGGTGATGGTGGTGATGGTGGTGATCATGGTGATGATGATGATGGTGGTGATGGTGGTGATCATGATGATTATGATGGTGATGGTGGTGATGAAGGTGGTGATCATTATAGTGTTAGTCGTGGTGGTGGTGATCATTGTAGTGGTTGTGGTGGGTGATGATGCCTCTGAGGCGTGATCAGTTTATGTTAGATTGTGTAGAGATCATGATAAGTACATATAACCCTCCACACTGCCCGATAGAGCTAATAACATCAAGTTGTGACGTCATGGAGGAATATATACAAACTGATTTGGGATTCTCAGCCAAGGAGTCGAGGAGGAGCGAGTCGAGGAGGAATGATAAAAACCCCATGCAACATTTTGCTCTGTCGGGTGGTGGAGGGTTCTTGTTTAGGATTGACACTGTACCTACCCGACCCAACCCATCAAAAAACGAATTACAAATCGTAATATTAATCGTGAAATCCTACGGTTGAAATTGACATTGCTGATGATTATGATGCTGCTGATGCTGCTGGTGGTGGTGGCGATGATGAAGATGATGATGATGCAGAGCGGTGGCGCAGCGGTTAGCGCACCGCGCTACAAACCCGGCGGCCCGGGCTTCGATCCCACGGCTCCCGGCCCGCGAACACCGCGTCACGCGGCCGACCCTCTTTGACATCGCGAGCAACATTGTTTTGATTCGTTTTCCCAGCAGAGCACAACCAAGAAACGAACAGATGCATTTTTTTTTGACAACATCGTCCTCAAAACGTCTGCTCGTCGTCATCCGGGCCGCGAGCTCCTCCCGTCGCGAGTCAGACGCTCGCTGCCGCGACGCCTTGACGGCGTGAATAATTCAATGTCGCGTGGACGGCGACTGCTTAATGAGAGGAGCGGGGGGGGGGCTGCATAATGTCCGCGGGATGTGCGATGCTCATCTGCATAGCGGCAGATTCCGTTGCGCACTCAGAGCCGCCCCGTGCCACCCTAACCGCCCCCCGTGCCCCCCCGTGCCCCCCCCCCCCGCTTCCCACCCATCAGAAATGGGGGGGGGGGGGTGGGGCTCGACACAAGCTGCGGGCGAGAGATGCCAGGATCGAGACGGCACCGTGGGTGGGCAAAGCCGCTGATGCCACCACGACGACCGCGGCCTTCCTCGCTTGGCCGACGCGTGCCACGCGCCACCAGAGCCCACGGCTGCCGCACGGCAGAGACGCGCAGAGTGGCCTCCAACAACGGCCCTGAGACTGCCTCCTCCTACCTCCTACTCTAGTATAGACTCACACCGAGACACATAGACTCACACAGAGTCATAGACTCACACAGAGAGGCATAGACTCACACAGAGACACATAGACTCACACAGAGTGATCCACAGACTCACACAGAGAGGCATAGACTCACACAGAGAGGCATAGACTCACGCAGAGAGGCAGAGACTCACACAGAGAGTCGTACACTCACACAGAGAGGCATAGACTCACACAGAGAGGCAGAGACTCACACAGAGTGATCCACAGACTCACACAGAGAGGCAAAGACTCACACAGAGAGGCATAGACTCACACAGAGAGTCATAGACTCACACAGAGTCCCATAGACTCACACAAAGAGGCAGAGACTCACACAGAGAGGCATAGACTCACGCAGAGAGTTATAGCCTCACACAAAGACCCATAGACTCACACAGAGAGGCATAGACTCACACAGAGAGTTATAGACTCACACAGAGAGGCAGATACTCACACAGAGAGTCGTATACTCACACAAAGAGGCATAGACTCACACAGAGTCATAGACTCACACAGAGAGCCATGGACTCACACAGAGAGGCATAGACTCACACAGAGAGGCAGAGACTCACACAGAGTGATCCACAGACTCACACAGAGAGGCATAGACTCACACAGAGAGGCATAGACTCACACAGAGAGTCATAGACTCACACAGAGTCCCATAGACTCACACAAAGAGGCAGAGACTCACACAGAGAGTCATAGACTCACACAGAGTCCCATAGACTCACACAAAGAGGCAGAGACTCACACAGAGAGTCGTACACTCACACAGAGAGGCATAGACTCACACAGAGAGGCAGAGACTCACACAGAGTGATCCACAGACTCACACAGAGAGGCATAGACTCACACAGAGAGGCATAGACTCACACAGAGAGTCATAGACTCACACAGAGTCCCATAGACTCACACAAAGAGGCAGAGACTCACACAGAGAGGCATAGACTCACGCAGAGAGTTATAGACTCACACAAAGACCCATAGACTCACACAGAGAGGCATAGACTCACACAGAGAGTTATAGACTCACACAGAGAGGCATAGACTCACACAGAGAGTCATAGACTCACACAGAGTGATCCACAGACTCACACAGAGAGACATAGACTCACACAGAGAGGCATAGACTCACACAGAGAGTCATAGACTCACACAGAGTCCCATAGACTCACACAAAGAGGCAGAGACTCACACAGAGAGGCATAGACTCACGCAGAGAGGCAGAGACTCACACAGAGAGTCGTACACTCACACAGAGAGGCATAGACTCACACAGAGAGGCAGAGACTCACACAGAGTGATCCACAGACTCACACAGAGAGGCATAGACTCACACAGAGAGGCATAGACTCACACAGAGAGTCATAGACTCACACAGAGTCCCATAGACTCACACAAAGAGGCAGAGACTCACACAGAGAGGCATAGACTCACGCAGAGAGTTATAGACTCACACAAAGACCCATAGACTCACACAGAGAGGCATAGACTCACACAGAGAGTTATAGACTCACACAGAGAGGCATAGACTCACACAGAGAGTCATAGACTCACACAGAGTGATCCACAGACTCACACAGAGAGACATAGACTCACACAGAGTGATCCACAGACTCACACAGAGTCATAGACTCACACAGAGAGGCATAAACTCACACAGAGAGTCATAGACTCACTCAGAGACCCATAGACTCACACAGACCCATGGACTCCCACCGAGAGGCATAGACTCACACAGAGAGGCATAGACTAACACAGAGAGTCGTAGACTCACACAGAGTGAGTGAGCGAGCGAGTGAGTGACTGTGCGAGTGAGTGACTGTGCGAGCGAGTGAGTGGCTGTGCGAGTGAGTGAGTGAGCGAGTGAGTGAGTGGCTGTGCGAGTTAGTGAGTGAGCGAGCGAGTGAGTGGCCGTGCGAGTGAGTGACTGTGCGAGCTGCTGCTGCTGACTGAATCGCGTTGGCCGTACCGACGCCTGCCCCGTGATCTCCTCCTCGGCCGCCACCTTGGCCACCTTGGCGATGATGGGCGCGATGTTGGTTGGGCCGTACAGCTGCAGCTTGGGCAGGCAGTTCTGGTAGGCCTCCACCACTCCCTGGATGCCTGGTGGGCCCAAAGGTGCACACTCCTCACCCTCACCGCACACTCACCTGCACACTCAGCACACTCACCTGCACACTCACCATTTCCACCCGCCCACTCACCTGGACCCTCACCACACTCACCACACTCACCTGCATCCTCACCTACACACTCACCTGCACACTTTCACACTCACCTGCACCCTCACCACACTCGCCACACTCACCTGCATACTCACCACACTCACCTGCATCCTCACCTACACACTCACCTGCACACTTTCACACTCACCTGCACCCTCACCACACTCGCCACACTCACCTGCACACTCACCACCCTCACCACACTCACCTGCACACTCACCACACACTCACCTGCACAATCACCACACTCACCTGCACACTCACCACACTCACCTGCACACTCACCTACACACTCACCACACTCACCTGCATACTCACCACCCTCACCACACTCACCTGCACACTCACCACACACTCACCTACACACTCACCACACTCACCTGCACACTCACCACCCTCACCACACTCACCTGCACACTCACCACACACTCACCTGCACACTCACCACACTCACCTGCACACTCACCACACTCACCTGCACACTCACCTACACACTAACCACACTCACCTGCACACTCACCTGCACCCTCACCACACTCAACTGCACACTCACCTGCACACTCACCTGCACACTCCGGGTTGTCTGGGTCCATGTTGAGTGGGAAGTCGTGTGATACCTGCCCCACACACACACACCCCATGATACATTCGCTTCACACAGACAAGTGCTGTTAGCGAGCGCCTTTTAAGGCCACCCTAGCTTCCCGTGTCTCACCAATGATGATGTCCCCGCAACGCACCAGGTACTCATTTAAGGCTGAGTCGACCTAGGGAGTAGGCGCAGGACCGGTTCAGATATTCGTCACCGATGTTGGCTAAGCACTGCGCAGTGCGCTAACCACTGCGCCACCGCTCTCGATACATAGACAAAGATCCACCATATAGCCTTCAGCACGAAGACACAATAACAACAACAGCCGTTCACCACTAAGTGGCGGTGCCGTCACCACGGCGCTTGTGCCATGCTAGGTGCACTTTGAGGCTATATGCGAAGGCCCGCTGGCAGGGGGTCACGTGGCAGACCCACGTGGTGCCATGGGTTGACTGACTGAGGTGGCTGGCAGATGCACACCAGCCGTGCTCCACGACTTTGTGCCAACTTTCTGTGTTTTATCTGCCCGGCGCTCTGGTCGTTGTTGTGAGCGTTGCTCCTCTGCCTATGATAGCTGCATGCAGGCTGCGGGGGCGGGAGGGGGGGGCACGGCAAGGTCAGGGAAACATGGGGAGGGGGGGTGGGGGAGGGGGCAGCGAGGTTTTGGTCTGGGCTGGGGGGGTAGGGATATTGGGGGTGGGGGGCGTTGCTCACGGTGAATTCTGGGGGGATCCTTGCACCAAAACCAAACGCCGGGAACATCTTGTCACTGTGGGGGGAGTGGGGGGGGGGGAAGGGGGGGAGGGGGGGAAGTGGGGGGACACACGCGTGTGAGTTTGGGGGGGGTACAGCGAAGCCGGGGGGGGAGGGGGAGGGGAGGGTGCGTTACAAGGCATCGCTGGGGTCCGGCGACTCGTCGGCTGAGCCCCGAGTGGCCACGCAGCTTCACAGCCCAGTGCCGAGCTCCGTTCGCATCGGGTCAGCCTGACGAGAGATGCGGTGACCCCCCCCCTCCATGCCCCCCCCTCTCAGCCCCCCCCCTCTCAGCCCCCCCATCTCAGCCCCCCCCCCCATCTCAGCCACCCCCCCCCTCCCCACCGGTCTCGGACAGAGCCAACGCATCAACGCGTTGGACCCCAGTCGGACAGCGTTAGACCCTGGTGAGACCACACGAGCGTTCACCGACTCTAGGGGGATGATGATCATGATGGCGGTCTTGATGATCATCATGATGATTATCATGATCTTGATGATTATATCATGATGGTAATGTTGACGATGATGATGATCATCATGATGAATATTTATATTCTTTGGGTCTTTCGGTAAAGTCACGTAGATAGGCAGACCCCCCCCCCTCCCCCCTCCATTGCTTGCCGTCGACCACTTGCGTTGCGATCGAAACGCCGTCGATTTTTGTTGTTTTTGTTATTTTCTTTGAACCTGTCTACGTGACTTTACCGAAAGACCCAAAGAATATGAATTCTTGCAGTCACGAAAGCTTTAAGTCAAGATGAATATTGTGGTGCTGACGATGATGATTATGATTGTGGTCATGCACGATTAAAGTAATCCAGGTTTGTCCAGATGCAGATACCCGCACAACACATTGTCCTGCGGAGGGAGCTGGTAGGAACGTTGGGTTGTTCGGTCAATGGCCTGCAGGGTCAACGGCGGCGTGGTGTATTCCGCAAATATGCCCGACTGTGAGGGCGGGCACAAGCCGGCGTGAGTAGGTTAAACGTTGAGTTTTATAAGGGCACCACGGGGTGACCAGCCCCTCCACACCCAGCCCCCCCCCACCCAGCCCCACCCTCCCCTCCCTACCCAGCCCATCCCTCCCCACCCAGCCCCTCCCTGCACGACGGACGGACGGACACAATAATCCCCTGTGGGCTGGTGTAACCAGGAGGTTCCTACCAGTAATATTTGCATGCACCTGGCCCACCACATCCATCCATCGTACCACTCGCAATGGCTGTGGCTGCTTCTGGTCACGTGCCACCTTCCCCAGTTGCACTCGCGACACCGAAGAATATTCCAGTGGGAAGTTCATCCCGAGCCGCGCGATGATAACCGATCGTCCCCAGGTTCATCCCGATCGTCGCTGTGCATCGGCGGAGCGGTGCGTCCCCTTCCACGTGTTAGAGAACGGCCCACGGAAGCGGATTTCACAGAGCTACCTCTGAGACCAAGAGGGACACTGATCCACACAGAATGACCCACGGAAGCAGACACCACAGGGCTACTGTACCTCTGAGATCCCTTCTTCTTCAGCGGGAGGGGAGGGGAAGGGGGGCAGAAATTCCCCACCCGCATTACCATACGAGGGTAAGGCTCGAACCGATACCTCATTCTCAGAGCTTCAATTCTCAGAGCAACTCGAGTGCAGGAACGCAGCGTCGATCACAGAGGCGGAACCCCGGCGGTGACCCCGGCGCCACAAGACCACCTGCCGGGCGGGATGATCGCAACCCCCACCCCCCACTATCGTCCCCCCGCCCCCCGCCCACTTTTCTCCTTCACGCAGGTGCGCTCACCTGTCGTAATCCTGGCAAATCTCTCCCACGGCCACCAGAGCCTTGAGGTACTCGTTGGGCTGGTAGGGGTGGATATAGTGCAGCGAACAGCTGTTCTGCGGGTCCCCGTTCGAGGCCGTGAAGTCGATCGCCACCTGAGGGCCGCACAGAGGGGTTTGCCTTTAGGTTTGGGGGGGGGGGTGGTCGGGGGCGAGTGGGGGGGGGGCGAGTGGGTCAGGGGAGTTCCGGACTCACACAGAGCGATCCATACTCACACAGAGAGCCATAGACTCACACAGAGAGTCATAGACTCACACAAAGAGCCAGAGACTCACACAGAGAGCCATAGACTCACACAAAGAGCCATAGGCTCACACAGAGAGCCATAGACTCACACAGAGAGTCATAGACTCACGCAGAGCGATCCATAAACTCACAGAGAGTCATAGACTCACACAGAGACCCATAGACTCATACAGAGACCCGTAGATTCACACAGAGAGCCATAGACTCTCACAGAGACCCACAGACTCACACAGAGTTTATGGGTCTCTGGGGAGGGCGGGGGTGAGTCTAGAACTCACTATGCAAGACAATTTTTGTTCCTGTGTACTAAGTGTTATTTCCTAATTGCTTATGCTTAAAAAGTACATAAAATGGCTATTATTCTCCACAAACGTTGCTTTTGTGACCAGGACTTTATGTGAACGAAATACACAAATGCACACGTTTTATCATTTAATATATATACATTTCAAAATATCACTGTCCTGGTCACTAAGGGGCCGTCCATAAATGACGTCACGCGATTTTGGACGATTTTTTACTCCCCCCCCCCCGTCACACGGCGTCACAAAAAGTCAGACCCCCCCCCCCCCTCAAATATTACGTCCCCAAAGCTGCCCCCTCCCCCCAACAAAAATAAAACATGCTTCAAATCGCTTTAAACTATTGTCATTGTAGTGCGTATTTATTGTGGCGCTGCACTCTGATGTTGTAGGAGAAAACATTTATTTATTTAAAGTTGCGCATTTTGATGTGATGTTTCTCCACCCCCCCCCCCCCCATCGTCACAAATGTCTGACCCCCCACCCCTAGGTGCGTGACGTCATTTATGGACGGCCCCTAAAGCAAAGTTTGTGGGAAACGATAGCTATTTTCTGTACTTTTGAGGCATAAGCAATTAGGAAATGACACTTACTACTTACTACCCAGGCACAACATTTTGTTTTTGTTATACAGTGGAATCAGTTGGGACATATAAGGCAAAGATCCCCCGTACAGCCTTAACAGACTGTAGGGGCAAGTGCTGTTAGCGAGCACCTATAAAGGCTGGCACAGAACACGAGGGGGTGGGTGGCCCAACACCACGCCCGGCCGCCTTTGTCTCCCTAGTGGCGATGTTTACACATTGCACCAAGTACTCATTTGAGGCTGAGTCGACCTAGGAGAGGACCAGGACCGGTTCAGATAATCGTCACCGGTGTTGGCCGTGAGCAGGAATCGAACCCGGGTCGCCAGGTTTGTAGCGCAGCGCGCTAACCGCTGCACCACCGCTCCCCACTCACATTGTTATTATGAGCCAAGAATGCCTGTTTGTGCGTAACGCGCGTGACGTCACTCCACATGCCGCACCCCCTCATTAATATTCATGAGCGGGTGGATTTTTACACTCACGCAGAAGAAGGTCGAGTGGAAATGATTTTTGACGTTTCTTTCTTGAAAGTGAATCTAATAAATAGCTCCACGCAGCAACAAAGTGGATTTGGTGTTTTTATTTCTTCAGCACTTGAGACAAAAGGCAAGTGCCCAACCACTCTAAACACGTGGTGACGTTGATTCTAAATGTGGAGGGGAATACCGGAGGACCCGGAGACAACTCCACGCGACCACGGGGAGAGAAACACGCAAACTAGAATATACAGCAGCAGGCGTCAAGGTTGGGATCGAACCCACGACCTCCTACACACCAGGCGAGCGAGTTAACATCTCCTGGCCACCGCGGCGTTTATATCACACGGCGGTGGCAGCACCGCCTTACCGTAAACTGAATCTGGCAGCCCCCCATGATGTACTCCAGGAAGGAGTAGATCTTAATGATCTGTGGAGGGGGAGGAGGGGGGGAGGAGGGGGGGAGGAGGGGGGGAGAGAAGGAGGAGCTAAATATGATTATAACCATGACGTTGGTCGTGATGATGTTGAGGATAATGTTAATGATGACGTTGTCTATGATGATGATGATATTAACGATGATGTAGATGATAATGTTATGATGATGTCGATTATGTTCATGTTGACAATGTTGATGCTGATAATGTTGATAGTGTTAATGATGAAGTTATCGATTATGCTAATGATGATGTTGATGATTATGCTGGTGGTGATGATTATGATGATTATGATAATAATGATGATGATGATGCTGATAATGATCTTGATGAGGATAATGTTGATGATGATGTTGATGTCGATGATAATGTTGATGATGAACTTGACGATCTTGATGATGTCGATGATGGTGGTGGTGATGGTGGTGATGGTGGTGGTGATGGTGGTGGTGGTGATGTCGATGATGGTGGTGGTGATGGTGGTGGTGATGTCGATGATGGTGGTGGTGATGATGGTGGTGATGGTGGTGGTGATGGTGGTGGTGATGGTGGTGGTGGTGGTGGTGGTGATGGTGGTGATGTCGATGATGGTGGTGGTGGTGGTGGTGATGATGGTGGTGGTGATGATGGTGGTGGTGATGATGGTGGTGGTGATGATGGTGGTGATGTTGGTGGTGGTGGTGGTGATGATGGTGGTGATGATGATGGTGGTGGTGGTGATGGTGGTGGTGATGATGGTGGTGGTGATGATGATGTTGGTGGTGATGGTGGTGGTGGTGGTGATCATGGTGGTGGTGATGATGATGGTGGTTGTGGTGGTGGTGGTGATCATGGTGGTGGTGGTGATGATGGTGATGGTGGTGGTGATGGTGGTGGTGATGGTGGTGGTGGTGATGTTGGCGGCGTCTCACCTTGCAGTGCGACAGGATGAGCACGCCCGAGTTCTTGTAGCGTCGCTTCTTCGCTTTGTACTTGGGGTTGATGCAGTCCCACTGCACCTGCGGTGCGGAGGTGAGGCTCAGGGTGAGGAGGTGAGACGTGGGGTGAGGAGGCGAGGCTGGTGGTGAGGAGGCGAGGTGAGGTGGTGAGGAGGTGATGCTGGTGGTGAGGAGGCGAGGCTGGTGGTGAGGAGGTGAGGCTCGTGGTGAGGAAGCGAGGCTGGTGGTGAGGAGCGAGGTGAGGTGGTGAGGAGGCGCCCACCTGCCGCCCGTCCTGCGCGCCCAGCATCTCGTGGAAGGTGGTGCACAGCTCCCCGATGAAGTCGTGCTTCCCGTTCGAGTCCCAGTCCCACACCATGCACTGCAGCGACACTCACCAACACTCACCATCACTCACCAACACTCACCACACTCACCACACTCATCATCACTCACCATCACTCACCAACACTCACCATCACTCACCAACACTCACCACACTCACCACACTCATCATCACTCACCATCACTCACCAACACTCACCAACACCACTCACCAACACTCATCATCACTCACCATCACTCACCAACACTCACCAACACTCACCAACACTCACCATCACTCACCAACACTCACCAACACTCATCATCACTCACCACACTCACCAACACTCACCATCACTCACCAACACTCACCAACACTCACAACACTCACCAACACTCACCAACACTCACCAACACTCACCAACACTCACCAACACTCACCAACACTCACCAACACTCACCACACTCACCAACACTCACCATCACTCACCAACACTCACCATCACTCACCAACACTCACCAACACTCACCATCACTCACCAACACTCACCATCACTCACCAACACTCACCAACACTCACCATCACTCACCAACACTCACCACACTCACCATCACTCACCAACACTCACCACACTCACCATCACTCACCAACACTCACCATCACTCACCAACACTCACCACACTCACCATCACTCACCAACACTCACCATCACTCACCAACACTCACCACACTCACCATCACTCACCAACACTCACCATCACTCACCAACACTCACCACACTCACCATCACTCACCAACACTCACCACACTCACCAACACTCACCAACACTCACCATCACTCACCAACACTCACCACACTCACCATCACTCACCAACACTCACCATCACTCACCAACACTCACCACACTCACCATCACTCACCAACACTCACCATCACTCACCAACACTCACCATCACTCACCATCACTCACCAACACTCACCACACTCACCAACACTCACCATCACTCACCATCACTCACCAACACTCACCAACACTCACCATCACTCACCAACACTCACCACACTCACCAACACTCACCACCACTCATCCAGTACTCATCAACACTCACCATCACTCACCATCACTCACCAACACTCACCAACACTCACCACCACTCACCCAACACTCACCATCACTCACCAACACTCACCAACATTCATCCAGTACTCACCAACACTCACCAACACTCACCAACACTCATCCAGTACTCACCAACACTCACCCAACACTCACCAACACTCACCAACACTCACCCAACACTCACCAACACTCACCAACACTCACCAACACTCACCCAGCACTCACCAACACTCATCCAGTACTCACCAACACTCACCAACACTCACCAGCACTCACCAACACTCACCAACACTCACCACCACTCATCCAGTACTCACCAACACTCACCCAACACTCACCAACACTCACCAACACTCACCCAGCACTCACCAACACTCACCCAACACTCACCAACACTCACTCACCACCACCACTCACCAACACCACTCACCACCGCTCACTCACCACCACCACTCACCAACACTCACCACCACTCACCATCACTCACCAACACTCACCAGCCCTCACCAACACTCACCAACACTCACCAACACTCACCAGCACTCATCAGCACACTGGTGCGATGTTAACTGGTATACAGGAGGTCGTGGGTTCGATCCCGACCTTGACGCCTGCTGCTGTAGATTTGGAGTTTGCGTGTCTCTCTCTCTCCCCGTGGTCGCGTGGATTTTTCTCCGGGTCCTCCAGTTTTCCCCTCCACATTTAGACTCAACATCACCACGCGTTTGGAGTGTTTGGCTGCTATAAATTTCCACGTGATGATGATAATGATGAGCCACTTCGTTGAGCTGTCATTTGTGGCCAGGTCGCTTCTGAAAAAAAGATCTACATAGCTCAGTGGACCTCACCCGTTAAAACTAAATAAAAATAAATGTTTTCTTAGTTTAGTTTATTTCAGCCTTTACACTGCTGTTTTGGACTTTAACAGAGACTTAGAAGTGCACAGAAGGGGGTTTTTACCAAGCACTCATTTGAGGCTGAGTCGACCTAGCTGAGAACCCGGACCGGTTCAGTTAATTGTTACTGGTGTGGGTTGCCTTGAGCGGGAATCGAATTTGGGTCTCTGGATTCGTAGCGCATCGCGCTACCTGCTACACTACCACACCCTCACACAAACACTCCCTCCACTCACACTCCCTCCACTCACACTCCCTCGACTCACACTCCCTGTAGCACAGAGCCATCAGTAGTGATTTGTCTAAGGTGGTATTGATGTTGATCATATTGTTGTTCGCCTTGTTAACATTGTTGTTGCTAGTGTTGTTGTTGATCGTGTTGTTGTTGATTATGTTGTTCTTCTTGTTGTTGCTCGTGTTGTTATTGTTGTTGTTGTTGCTCATGTTGTTGTTGTTGTTGTTGTCGAGTGGCCTCACCTTGAGTTGCCTCTCGTAGTCGCAGCAGCACAGCGCCTGGATGGACACCTTAAAGGGGTCCCACACGGGGTTCAGGTTGTCCATAATCACCTGCACGGTGAGACACACGGGGGAGGGGGGAGGGGGGTGGGGGGAGGGGGGGAGGGTAGGTGAGGGAGGATGGGGGAGGGGGAGGGTCGGTGAGGGAGGATGGGGGAGTTGAGGGAGGGGGGGAGAACAGGTGAACAGGTGAGCAAGTGAAGGGGAGAGGGTCACGTGATG